GAAAAAAAAAAAAGAACTGTTGTGATTCATGCCTTGGCTCTACAATATATAACATAATTTCTAAGCGAGGTTTATGAATCTTTAAAATGTAAAAAATATTCATCCCCCTAACTTACATCCTCCTAACATCACAACTTTGTGATGGCAAAACAATATATGTAAAAGCATTTGAGTTATAAAGAACCATACAAATGTTAGATGTTGTTCTTGGAGTCCAGTCATTAATAGTGAAATAACAACTAAATGTCCTACTGGTGATAGTTTAAAAGTATCACTGTCATGGCTAAAGGAAGAAAGCATCTGATCATTAATTATATAGTATACTGGAAAAACTGCTATAAATTCAAAGTATTTTTCTACTGATTTCCCTCTTTTCCCATCTCTCAAGATATGTTCACCCAACTGATGAAAAAAAATCAAAGCTTCTTATATATTAAGATAATGTATTTTATGTTTAGCTCTACTTTTTAATACCTTTATTGAAAAATGGCAAAGATAAGCAAAGTCTTTTTTTTTTTTTAAAGATTTTATTTATTTATTTGACAGAGAGAGAGAGACACAGTGAGAGAGGGAACACAAGCAGGGGGAGTGGGAGAGGGAGACGCAGGCTTCCCGCCGAGCAGGGAGCCCGATGCGGGGCTTGATCCCAGGACCCTGGGATCATGACCTGAGCCGAAGGCAGACGCTTAACGACTGAGCCACCCAGGAGCCCCAAGCAAAGTCTTAATTACCGGTGTCCCAGGTAAAGGTTCCCCTAAAATATTGACTGGATTTATGGAAGATTTAACTTATGTATCCTATTACAAATGACAAATGACTACTAATATAAGTAAAACAGCACAATTTTACAAATTTATCTCAAAATGATTTGTAATCAACTTTACAAAATCACTCCTATAACCTCCACAAGATGGAGGTTTAAAAAAATGAAGAGGGCTTATATCTGATTAGCAGAAAAGACTAGATAAGGTAAATAGTGTACAGCTGACACACAGTATGTTCATCAACCAAGAAATAATAATAGTTTGCTTTTAAACAAAAAAATTCACTATAATGATTTTGCCCTCTAAATCAAGAATTCTAAGATAATTAAGTATAATTATTTAAAAGGTACTGAAATGTGCCTTTAATTTCTTTATCCCTTAATACTAGTTCTAGAATATGTTAAATATGATGGTGATATGGTAAACTCCAACAGAATCACTATTTTAACCTTTTTTTTTTTTTTTT